CAAAGAGTTCAGAAAGAATTATTTTGGCCCACTGCAGTGGAGCACGCTTGTAATCCCAGAAGCTCAGTAGGCTGAGGCAGGAGGATCGCGAGTTCCAAGCCAGCCTCAGTAACAGCAAGGAGCTAAGCAACTCACTGAGACCCTGTCTCTAAATAAAATACAAAATAGGGCTGAGGATGTGGCTCAGTAGTTGAGTGCCCCTGAGATCAATCCCCAGTACCCTCCTCAAAAAAAAAAAAAAAGAATTATTTTGCCTGGCATTAAAAGATCTAAATGCAGTGCAGAGAAAATACCTTTCTCCTTTTCACCCAGGATCTTGATCATCTATTTCTATGGCTTTCTTTTCTGGGCCCCATGCTGTTCCCTGCCCTGTGTAGGTGTGCACTTGACTTAGGCTTCTCTGACCAACCTTTGACCTGCAAAATTGCAGAGAATTGCTGTGGCCTCTGCCGTTGCTCAGCGTTTACACTTGAAGCGTGGAGTCTCCGTGGACTGTCAGCTTTGCGTTTGCTGTTGTACCTACAGGTGCATCTTGCCCTCTTGTCTTGAGATACTCTCACAGTGCTGGCATTTTAGCAAGGGTCTCTCTCCCTCTGCCTCTCTTTCTCTGAGCCACCTCTGCGCTGCCTGGTTTCTGGTTGATAGGCCCCACTGGGCTCGAGGGGCTGTAGGGTTTATTTTGACAATGAACAGGGCTAGGTGAGGAGCCACCTGAAAGCGCTTCCCTCCCCCACTGCCAATGTCCTCACTGGTCCCTGAGTCACCCTCCTCTGCTTCTCTGTCAGTTTAACCACTTCCTGCCCACTATTTGTTGTCTAAATAGCACAGTCAGAATGACATATTCCAACAACTCCCCCCACCAATGTAATTTTCCTTCCCAGGCTTGTTTTTTTCTCTCGGAGTGTTGGAATTTTGTATTCTGAAGATTCAAATTCCAAGCCTGACAGTGCTCCAACTGTCCTTCCCCGGCTAGGAAAATAATCATAACTGCTCACCTGCCTGAACCACTTTCTGCCCATCAGGCACCAGCTAAGCTCCTTGTGGACTTTATCTTCCATAATCCCCCCCGGGAGTCCCAGGAAGTGAGCACTATTATTATCCTTACTTTCCAGGTTGGGGAATAGAGCCCAAGACACTGGCCCCGGGTCATCCCAAGTGTAAAGGGTGGAGTTGGCATTGGCTCTATCCAGATCCCTCTGCCCAGGGTCTGCACACCTGACCACCGCCCAGGACCACCTTCCAGGGTGTCTAAGGGACATGGCCTGCCCTCGAGGTTCTCTAGTCCTGCCCAACAGCCCGGTCATCTGGGGTCAGAACTCCTCCAAATGCTTCACCAAGGCAGCGTTGGCCCTTCCAGAGACAGGAGTATCGACTCGGCAAGGTTTTTTAACTAAAAGAACTTTCCAGCAGATGGGGTTGGGTCTCTTATCCCCACTGACCCTGTGAGGGCTGGAGGCCTCTAGGTGTTGCCCAGCCTAGACATCTGGGTGGCTAACGGATCTGGTGGGGCCAGTGCCCTGGTCCCTTCCCCCATCCCTCCTGGGTGCCTCCTCTCCAGGGTCCACGGAGGGCAGACCAGCTCCCACACATAGCTCACTGCCTTGTCGTCCTCCCCTCTGCCCCAGGGGAGACCACAGCAGCCGATAGAGGGCTGCTTCTTCCTCCGAGGCCTCAGTGGTCTCTCCAACTCCCATGCCCCTAGTCCAATAGCTCCGATTAGGCCTTGGCTGATCCCTTGGCTCCTTCCTGGGCCATCTGTTTGGATAGCATGGTCCCACTAAATCCTGAGTCCATCTTCACAGAGATGCTGCCTATGCCCACACCTGGGGAAGCTCCTGGAAGCTCCGCGGGCACAGCCTCCCCTCCTGTCCACCTGAGAGAGGGGTTAGTGCCTCTGCCCCAACATGGAGCCTTCACCTCTGGTCAGCAGTCTCATCTGGCCTCCATAGGATGCCCTAAGACACAATGGCACCTAAATTCTGTGAGGAATGGAGTGGGCAGAGAGTGGATTGGTCACCAATTTGTGCTGAGCCTTGAATTAATGAATGCTTCTATGAAGACCCTGCCTGGGGATCCTTGGCCATTGAAAGTCAAATGCTTGCTGGAGCATGAATGTAATCCCAGTGGCTTGGGAGGCTGAGGCAGGAGGATCTAGAGTTCAGAGCCAGCCTCAGCAATTTAGTGAGGTCCTGAGCAACACAGTGAGACCCTGTCTCTAAATAAAATATGTAAAGGGCTGGGGATGTGGCTCCGTGGTTAAGCGCCCCTGAGTTCAATCCTTGGTACAAAAAAAGAAAAAAGAAAGTCAGATGCTCTTTATTGATAGCAAGGCCCAAGGGGAAAATGGGGACAGAAGCTGCCATCCAGAATCTCTTGTCAGACAGCCTTGGTGTGTCCCTCCTCATCTAGGTCATAGTGACATCTAAGAGGTGAACCCAAGTGGGCACTTGATAATGGGGACTCCAAGGCTCTGTATAGTAAATACTGGTTGAAAAACGTGATGTTGCAGGGTCCACAACTAAAAAGACACGGTGTAAAAGAGCGTCTCCCTCTGAAAGCATGCTGATTTATTGTCCCCCGACCCCAGGAGGATCCATGGTGGGGAAATCCTTCTTCACTATAGGCGCAGAGGGAAGGTACGGATGGGGAAGGGCAATGCTGACCCATAATTCCCTCCTGGGTTCCCAGTTTTTCTGGTCTACTAACTGGAGCCCAAAGCGCCCTCCACAGAACATAGCCTTTTCAAAGGTTTAGAAAGGAAAAGATGCTCTATGTAGGGAATCGGTGACAATTTGACACAGGTGTTGTGAAAACTGAGCCAAAGGGCTTGCGTCAGATGGCTGAGGTCCCCAGTCCCACTTCTTACCAGCTCTGTGGACTTGGGGGGGAGTGTCTCGCCTCCCTGTCCCTCCATTTCCTCACCTGTAAGGTGGGGAAAGTGAGAGGCCTCACCTGCCAGGGCGGGTTGTGAGGATTCACTGAGGCACTGCAGGAGAGCACCCAGCGCTGGGTTAGACTCGGTGAACGTGAGCTGACCGTGACCGTGACAGGGACCCAGGCAGCAAGGCAAGTTACTGTCTCATCAGGCTTCTGTGAACAAAGTCAGGAAACTTTGGAAATAAGATTTGTCATCTTGTGGTGGAGGCTATCTTTCTGTGAAAGCTGCCTTTACAATTATCTCTAGTTCAAAGCTTCCTTTCCTCAGCCACAGTAAACAAGGGACCCTGACACCCTCGTAGGACACAGCTTTTGCTGATGTTGCTAACTCTGGCCTGTTGGCTGGTTCAATTTGGAACCTGTCCACAAAGATGGATCCTAGAATCACACATTCTAGAAGCACCCAGCACGTTGTCTATACTTTAAAGAGAAAACAGACAAGCCAGGCTACTTTTGCAAAGCAGAAATGCTAGAAATTTCCGTTTTAAGATCTGCAGGCTGCACGCCATTACTGTTAACCTTCCAGGATCCCATAAAACCTTTCAAAATCTTTGGTGGTTTTAAAATAAGAAGTCATTGGTCAAAAAGGAGAAAGACACCGATTTCCTTCCCCTTAATTCTTAACAAGTGCCCTTAGGGGAACAAGAACACAGCCAGGAGGACACAGTGTGCCCACCAGATGTGCCCAGATGGGGACCTGAGCTCTGAAGTCAAGCTCACTAGAAAGGCAACTCGTGAGGGTAGCAGGGGTTTGGGGTGTCTGTTCAATGACGTATCTTCAGCTCTGTGACAGAGCTAACCCACAGTGGGTGTTCAATTTTATTTGTTAAATGGATGAATAGAATGTAAACGAACCTCAGGTGTTAGTACAAGAGCTAGCATCTTATGGGGCCTTTCTCCTCTCAGTGGATTGTGTGATTCACGAGGACTCTCCCTCCGTGTGTTCCAGGGTGTCCCTCTTGCACCCACCCTGCCACCCCGAGGAGCTGGCCTTTTCCCAAACCTGCCTTGTGACACTCAGTGGTCTCTCCCAGTGATGCTTCTTCCCCAGTAAACACCCACTCTTTGTCCAGGGCCCAGCTCAAATGTACCACCTCTAATTTCTCAGGACTCTTTCCTATGCAGCTTGATTTCACAATGAATTGAAATGCATTAAATGAGGGGAATATGGTAGACTGCTCAAAAGATGAGGAATCTTGGTTGTCCCTGCAGTCCCAGCAAGCAGCCTGTGTCATCAGAGGCATTGGTCATGAAGACCAAGTTGGCCAAGAGTGAGGGACAGGGTGGAATGGGTACATGGGACATCACGGCCATGAGGAGGGTGGTCCTGTGACTAATTATGATCAACAAATGGGCTCAGCTGAAGCCGTACCATCTAAACTCTCATCACAGGGCCGCTGGGCACAGTGGTACACATCTGTAATCAGAGAGGCTCAGGAGGCTGAGGCAGGAGGATTGAGAGTTCAAAGCCAGCCTCAGCAAAAGCGAGGCACTGGGCTGGGGTTATGGCTCAGTGGTAGAGCACTCGCCTGGCACATGTGAGGCTTTGGGTTCAATCCTCAGCACCACATAAAATTAAATTAAATAAATAAATAAAGGTATTTTAAAAAATGAATGACATAGTATAATTTAAAAAAAAAAGCAAGGCACTAAGCAACTCAGTCAGAACCTGTCTCTAAATAAAATATAAAAAAGGGCTGGGGTGGGGGTTGGGGATTGTGGTTCAGTGGTAGAGTGCTTGCCTTGCACGTATGAGGCACTGGATTAAATCCTCAGCACCAGATAAAAGAATAAATAAATAAAATGATGTTATTTAATTTTAAAAAAAAGGGCTGGGGATGAGGCTTAGTGGTAAAGTGTCTTGGGTTCAATCATGGTTCAAAAAAAAAAAAAAGTAATAAATGATCATCACAGAATCCAAGTTCTGAAAACTTTGGGCCATGAGGAATTTGCCATGAAATTAAAAAGAAAAAACGAATTTGCTTAACTCAGTCCTGTAAGTAAAAACCATGCCAGGGGAAACCAGGATACAAACACTGGAAAGATAGGAAGACCAGCATCTCTTTAATAATGAAATAATTTATTTGTTAACAGTTGAACAATACAGAAGTTTACATATACACAGCAAAGATTCTCTAAAACATGTAATTGTTTCTAAAAATGCATGTGCTAACTGTAATAAAAAGCACCATTCTCTATGGTCTTGACACGGGATTTACATTGGCGTCTTATTTACATAAAGAAATAAACATCTGGAAACAGAATTTCCCATCCTTTCATTGGCTACTCCCCTGTTTAGGCTGTGTTTACCTTTAGGAAGGTGCCCCCACCCCCAACTGATGGTTAACAGCAATATTTCAAGAGCACCAATTCTAGAGACAGGGGGTAAAGGCAGTTTGGTTCTCAGGTAAAAGCTAAAATGAAGGAGGCCCCCTTCAACCCATCACCCCCTCAGGTAGGATAAGAAATCAAAATTAAAAATCTAAATCAATTTTAGAATTGGGTGCCTTACAAATTCTCATTTTATGATTTTGAGAGAGAAGACAAACATACTCAATTTCTTCAGCCATTCAATAGCTGAATCTAGCAGTGCCAATTATTGCTTCTTCCAGAAGAACACAGTATAAGAAAATCGGGTAACAAATATTGATAATGAAAAATATCATGATAAGTCACATATTGTACCCACCCACCCCAACCCCACTATCTTTGAACACAAAATATCCTCCGGTCTACAGAGATCTGAAGGTGTAGAGTGAGGAAAACCACCTCATGGGAAAGGGACTTGGGTTGTCTTCTCCCAGGAAGGATTCTTAAGTCAGGAGTAGCCAGCTACCAAAACATAATGCATCAGAGTCAGACAGAAAAAGGACAGATGGACATGCAGAAAACTGCCTTTCAGGCTCTTACTACCTGGTGTTCAACACGCAGGGAAGGTAAAGAGGGGAAGACGAAGAAATCTGGGGGACACAAGTAAAGAAGAAACAGAAAAGACCAAGATTCGATGAAAGTGGTATTCTTGCCAGTACAGTATGGAATAAAAACCTAAATAATAATGCGTGTGTGTGTATATATAATATATATGCTTTTCAAAAATAAGTTTTCTCTTTAAAGGATGAGGAAGAAGGCAAGAGGAAAAAAGTCCACAAAATCCATTCTCAAGCCCCAGGATATTGCTAAGAGGTTATTTTGAGCATCACATCTCACCTAGTTTACATATATATATTTTTTTCAGACCCCAGGATTTGTTCTTGGCCACTCCAGAGACAAGAGAGAGAGGCCCATAGGAAACCCAGGGAGAGACGTTTGTTTCTTTTGAAAAAGTAGAGCTTAAAGGAAAATGCCCACCTTAAAGAACAACACAACAGCCACCACTCAAGTGGCCCATTTGCAGGGCCAGGTCCTACTTAATGCTCAAGTTTGAATTGAAGATGGAATTGTTTTAGTCTTGGGTTGACAGGGAGACTCTAGGGTCTGCTCAAAAATGTGATGCTCTTTGAATCGCTAAACTAGCATCAAGTCTGTGAGTAGAGAAAGGAGCCAGCAGTTTCTATCAGCACCTTGAAGAGTTCAAGATCTCTGCTAAGCAAAAGAAAACCGCAAGCAAAACACCCTGGGTGCTCAGCCCACCATTCAATGCCAACAAGGGATGGAAAGCTGGGTTTTTAGGGAATGTTAACAGAAGCACACGTATATATATTTTTCATGGCATGAAATTAAATCAGATGATGTTCTCTTCTTTTCCCATATGCATTACGATAGTATCAATAAGAGTGCAGTTTAGATTTCTTTTTAGTTTTTTTTAAAAAGAACTTTCACATAAAAATATGCATGTGCCTATATTTATACATATCTATATTTACGTACAATTGTCAACGTCTTAAAGGCTGGGGTTTATATCTTTGCTTGTCTCCTCCCCCCATCGACCCTAATAGAAAGGTTTTCATTTTGCTTAAAAAAACGAAACAATCAAAAAGACTCTATAGCTCTTAGCAGTCACGCTGGTGGATCAGTGAACGAGAGAGGACAGATTGGCGAATCACGGCTGCAGTTCAGCCACATGGGGAAGGGGATTAGCTGCCTTGGGCTGAGTTTGCTGGTCCTGAAGGTTACAGTTTTGGTTAGAGAGAAAAGCCTGTCTAGCATGCTGACTCGGTCTACCTTGAACTTTGAAAGTAATGTCTAACCCTGGTGTCAGTTTTTCACAAGTGCATTAAAAATATAGAGATCTACACTTAGATGCAATCAAATTGAAAAGGACCAGACAAACAGTGCAAAGGTCAAATAATTACTGTTTTATATTGGGACAGTACATTTCATATTTCAACCAAAAGACAAAAATGCAGTTTAACTCAAAGGCACAACAATTAAAACACAGAAAATAATGGCATCTCTCAGATGCCTTATTTCTAAATTAAACAAACAAGTACACAAATTCTGTTCCCTTCCCTCCCCCAATGCAAGCCCACAAGCTTTTCCAAAGTCTTGAGTTTTCAATGCCACGTGGCATCCATCAGCATTGTGGACTTGTGAGGCGCTTGGATGTAGCAATCATACAAAATGCTTGAGAGGTCTAGCGAATGGCATTCGAAAGGGACCTCAAAGTGCAGATATATCTTTTCAAACATGTTACAGGCTGAGCTGGCTCTTTGAACACTACCACTCTGCTTAAATTCAGGAAGCAGGCTTTAAAAATGCAAAAGGCATACAAGTTGTATTTCAGTGCAAATCTTCAGCTGGTAATTGGAAAAGATTCCAACCAATAAAAAAAAAAAAAAATCCTTTGTATTATCTGCCCCTCCCCCCACCCAAAGCCGAAATGAAGAAAAAGCAGAACAAAACCAAAACAGAATTATTATAGATGACTTTGGAATCATTTAGGAGTCCACTACTTCCAATTAAAGACATTTTTTAAAAAATACATTAACAAATCATTAAAAAAAAAAAAAAAAAAAGAAAACCCACAAAAGTGATCTTGCTTCGTTTAGGCTGCTCTTCATGTAGAGAATGAGCTCCTGTATGGAGTGCATTTGAACTTGACTTGACTTGTGTGAAAGTGGAGGCGCTGGATGAGCTGTGAGGCTGTGATGCGCTAGTGACCGCAGCCCAGCAGGGCAGTGTGGGATGGCTGCCCGTTGCTGAGTCAGCCACTGAGCCCTTAGGTCGCGGTACATCTGTGGATTTTAGGAATGTCCCATCACTTTGTGACACACACTCTGCTGCAGCGTCACAGATTTTACAAATGGTTCAACTTCAATGAAAAAGATTCACTAGAGGCTGAAAACATTAAGACCTCAAAGATATGAATGCAAAAATATTCAGGGGAATGAACCAAATTTGTAGATACCTACATACAAAGTTTCTAGAACATCTATAAAAGCACAGTCATAAGAATTTATTTTCCATTACATTAGTTTATATAAAATGAATAAATAGTATTTATAGATTTAATGTGTCTTATGTACATATACATGTGCTCTGTTTTAGCTTAAATAAAAATGCTACAAAGTGGGAGACCACTTAAGGGAGAAATCATAACCAAAGAGAAAAATCAGCCTTTTAAACTATCAACCCAAAAGCCTCCATAAAGAAGTTTCTGGGTGTGTCCAAAAAGAATCCATTAGGAGAGGAGTTCTAGTAACACTGTACAGCCCCTCCATCCACCTGCGACTCAGAGAGTAGAAATGCGGACTTTCCTCTCACTGATGATGGCCACTAGCTCAGCTAGGGCCAAAGCTCAGTTATTGCTGAAAGTTAAATAGGAAAATAGATTAGACTTGGACCAAATGTCACTTATTTGGGGTGGGGGGGAAAAGAGGCATAATCACTTTTGTGAAGTGGGAAATGGAGATCTCATTTATCTCTGAGGTAGGAAAAAAAAATGTTCCAGAGACAAGTAGCATAACAAACTTGGAGGGGAAATGTGCCTTGAGACAGCAGTACACAGCGAGGTCCAAGGACAGCGCACACAGAGATCGTACCGTTGTGTTTGTGGGAACAAACAACGATGGAACTTTCCTAAGCTGTGCGACCCAAAGACACGCTGCCAAGGTGTCCGTTCTAAAGTGAGAAATACTGCTCCCATCCACACGCGGCGGCGGTCGGGGATCAGCAAGGTGTGTGTGGAGGGTGTTTTCTGGAGGTATTCCTGACTTCCTCACGGGGTGAGGTCCACGGTTAAGTGCTCTTAAATCCTGCTTTCAAAGCTTACTTTGGAGTTCTGAGATCAGGATCTCAACTTTAAAAGTCTGTTTCCTTCGGTTTCCTAAGCACAAGACACACTCGGACATTTCTCCTAGGCAAGTAACATAGTAAGCCAGAAAACTTTAAGAAAGGTCTGGTCAGCTACTGAGGACAGTAAAGAAGAGGGGAAGTTGCTGAGATGTGAAAATTGCTTAAGAATTCTTGGGTGCTTCGAATTGATTGGAATGTACAGTCTCTCAGAGACGAATTTTTATGGAGAGAGAGAAGCTAGTGGATGCAATCAGAAACCCACAATCCTACGCACTTCCTCGAAAACTTTTACAAAGCTGATTTTGGTAAAGGTGGTACACTGAAGTTTACGTGCAAGGGCGGCGTGGGCAGGTCCAATACACTACCTAATCGATCCGACAGGGAGAACCACCAGGGAGGCAGCCCAGCGACCACTCTCTTAGAGCCCGAGACACGTCTTATGACTGTCCTGGAGCTTTGTTCTCTTGATGCCGGAGCTGGAGTAGCCCTCGTCACTGCCGAGGCTCTGCATGCTGCCCCGCTCGTCAGAATCACTCACACTGCTGCTGCTCCAGTCCAGGTCCCCTGTGAGATAGTCTGTGCTTTCCACGTCGACATCGATTTCTTCTGCAGGGCACGTGTGAGAGATGCACGTGTTAGTGAAGTCAATCTGCAGAAAATCCAGGCTGAAAACCAGACCACCCCCAACCAACCCTTCTTTGGACCCTGCGACCTGATAGGAGAGGGGGTGACTCCTGCAGTCGCCCTACTCTATCTACTTCCCTAAGTCACAAGCAATTCCATCTTCCCTATCAAGCCTCCCCTGAGCAGCGCTGTTCCCTGGCTGGCAGGTGGAGGAGGGAGGACACTTACCCCTGTCAGAGTCTGAGCGCTCCGAGGACACTGTGGAGCCGGTGCTGTCCATCCGCATCCTCTCAATGCCCAGCTTCTCCAGCTGCCTCTTCAGGTGTCGCTGCTCGCGCTGAAGTTGATCTATTTGGTGAACAGCTTTTCTGTCACAATCTTCAAGTTTCTGCAAGTCAAGGGGTAGTTGGTAGAGCCCGCAGGGAATTTCTGAATCAGCAGTAACCCTGCATCTTTTCTTCCAACAGTGATATGTGCCAGCTGTCCCTAGGAGCCATTTGGCATGTCACTTGTCAAGCGCCTCTTTGAGACAGGAGGGCGCTGGTCAGGGACTGTGGCTTCATCTAACTCCTTCAGCTCCGACAGTGCTGGCACAATGTGGGCACTGGTCTGTCACGGGGAGGCTGAGCTCCAACATGCTGGCATCCCATACCCCTCAACCTGGCCTCCCTGGGCTGCAGCGATCCTTTGAATACCTCATCTTTCTGAATAGAAAATTGCACATGATGGGAGCTAAAGAAACACACTTCTATTTAAAATTATGTTTATTCAAGAACATGTCCCAATTACATAAGCACTTTTTTTTGTGTCATGCCCAATCTCAATTAACTTCTGTTTGTTAGCAGGCAATAACAGTTCCCTTTGGAGTCTTGATTCCAAATTGTCCAACAGAAGAGCTTATAAGACACATTTCCATAGATAACTTATTTTTATAAATCTGCCCCCTAGCTTCTCATATTCTTCAGATAATTAAGAGAAGTGTTTAATTGTAGCTGTTTGGCTTTAAATAGAGGTTCTTTTCCTCGCAGAATTGTCATGCATGCAGACTACTAACCAAAATTAAAGTGATATCTATCCAATCAAGATATGACTATAAAAACATGCCAAGCATTGATTTTGGCTATGGCTTTCAGAAGTTTGAACATATCTCAAGCTGGTCACTGAAGGGGGCCTCTGGGTTAGACACTGAGTTGCTGGGGACATAAGGTGGACACAAAGGCCTAGTTCCTCTCTTGTGGACTCTGCAGTTTAATAATGGGGACACCCACTAGTCACACAAACCACTGCCAAATGTCTACTATGACAAGGGTTGAGAGAGACTGAGATGCCTAATGACAGCACCACCTGTCACAGGAAGGTGACGGAGTCAGGAAAGTCAGTGAAGTCTTCTCTGAGTAGGTGGATGTGGGCTGAGATCTGGAGAATGAGTGGAGGAGAGGGAGGATGTGCACCACAGAGGGAGCAGCATGTGCAATGGCCCTGTGGTAAGAAAACATGACAAGCGCAAGAGACTGGAAGAGGGCTGGAGAGAGGGACATCTGTGGCATGAGATGCTGCTGCATAGGCAGGGAGGTCGAGGTCAGGCGGAGCCTGGTGTGTGTTGGGGAGGTGGTGACACAGTTTGTCCTGAGTGACCCAAGAATTTAAAAAGAGGAATGTGTTGACTTGTGCTTTGGCAGGATTGTCCTCAGGAAGCATGGATAGCTGACTGGAGTGCAGGTGAGAGAGATGTAGGGAGATCCCACATCCTGATCCTGAAGGTTTTGTTGAAGTGTGTTAAGGTGAAGATGAAGGTAGACGAAGCTATGAAATAGTTAGGTCTTGGGGATGGTTTAGGTATACGGTCAAGGGACAGGAGCCACCCAAGGACCCCGAGTTTCTAGTTTATATAGTTGCAAGGAAAGCTGGATGGACCACTGAACTCTGGACGTGAGGAATACTCGGTTTGGACGTGTTGCACTGGAGATGTCTGTATTCAGGGTGGAGGAGTTCAGAGGACAGGACTGTCCTAGAGAGATGCCTTTGTTTGTCCCCGATAACAACAGATAAGCCCTTACTAGATAGGAAAAGACAAAGAGGCATCCCAAGACACACTTACCTTTATGTGCAATTTGGCTTTTGTTAATAAACTCAACGTAGTGTGTCGATTTGATTCGGGTCCCAGTGGCACCAACACCTTTAACTTCTCTAAGCACAAGCGAAGATGAGCCCGCCTACAAAAACAAGATTGCAGTAGCATGTGAGAATTTCATAGTGGGCTGGAAGATGCCCCAGGAAGAGTGCGTTCTTAAAGTGTACGAAGTTGCCCAGGCCCAGTGATGGCAAATGCTACCTCTTGCCAAATAAACTTGGTTTGCAGCCAGACAACTCTGGGAAAAAGCACTAAGAAGCAAAATCCAGGGTTTCAAAGTTAAATCTTTTTGTATTATAGAACAATCTATTTGTATTTAGAACATCCAAATCAGAAAATAATGATACGCCAAATGGAGAATCCTTTTAAACCCATACTTCTCTTTGTAAAAGACCCCTGTTCAAAACCACTAGAGTACCAGAACTGTATTAATGCTGCATTTACGTGCATCAATGAATGACATGTGTACCAATATTCACCAAGGCTTTATTTTTTCATTTGTTCTTTTTAGACATATATGACAGTAGAGTCAATTTTAACATATTATACTTGTATGGAGTATAACTTAAACTAATTAGGATCCCATTCTTGTGGTGGTAGGCTTTATTTGTAATAGCAAAGATGGCAACAACACAAATGACCACCATGGGGCACTGATTAAATACACTATGGCACATCACATGGTGGAGGACCTTGGAGAGAGAATGTGCTCCACGTACTGTGGGAAAGGTCTCTTCCCAGAACTGTTATGAAGTGAGGAAGAGCAAGACATCAAAGCATGAGCATGATATGCTATTTGTGTAAAACAGACAGTAAACAAGAATCTATATTCATGTTTCCTTTTAAGTTCATAAACTGGAATTATTTGTAAGAGACTAATGACTGGCTGGGTAGAGAGAAGACAAGGAATAGTTAGATAGATAAGGGAGGGAGAAAGGGAAATTTTTACTGAAACTTTTTTTTTTTTTTAACTCAGGGGCACTTGACCACTTAGCCAAGTCCCCAGTCCTATTTTGTATTTTATTTAGAGACAGGGTCTCACTGAGTTGCTTAGTGCCTTGCTTTAGCTGAGGCTGGCTTTGAACTCACAATCCTCCTGACTCAGCCTCCTGAACTGCTGGGATTATAGGCATGAGCCACCATGCCTGGCCTGAATAATTCTTTATACTTTTTGGTCTTTCAACCATGTAACCGTATTGCAATTCAAAAAGTTAATTTTGTTTTTAAATATGAAAAAAGGATGTCATTGCCTTTGCTATACTAACAAGCCAGTTGGACAGCTGAGCAGAATTGCTTCTTGTTCTGGAGCATAGACAACGGTGCAATGGGACGGAGTGGGAGAGAGACAGAGGTTGGATGAGAAGGAAGCAACACTACCCACTAAAGAGAATCTTTTATCACAGAATGACCAGGAAAACAAGAGTCCTCACAATTTTGGAAATTTACCCTTCATTGAAATTTTGATTTGGGCTATATTCTAGAATCAAGCAGATTCCATGAATGAAACAGCCAAGATTCCATGAGAGAAACAGCCAAGATTTGGAGTACCTGCTTAAGCCCATCACCTCCTTAGAGCTTTCCCAAGCCATCCCAGCACATGCAGATGCTGTACTTCCTGGGGGCCTACTGGTTACCACTACTCCCTGGGAAGTTCACTGATCTGCCCATGTCGTTTGGTATTTGCTTCCTAACCATTTGTTGCAAACTCCTTAGTAAGTTGGGTCTGCAGCTTAATCATTGCTGTGTAGGCACAGTGCCCCCAGCACACACAGGCTAAATAAATGTTTGCTGAGTGGCTTGTGTCATCTGTCCAACTAGACTTTAAGCTTCTAGAGGACAGAGTCCATCTCCACTACATCTTTGCACCTGCAGTTGTACTCAGTCTTACGCCTTCAGATAAATATGCATTTATCTAAGAATGTTAAATAAGAATGTAAGGAAGAATGTTACTATATTAGCAAAAGCTGAGAATACAGGTTTAAAAAAACACCCCAAAACCCTCAATAAACAGGCATGATACTGACCTAGGAAGGCAATTCACAACCTCTACCAGATGTGGGATATTCCCCAAAGGCAAATCTAGGAAGTTCTGGTTAGATGTTCTCCTGAGCCCCTGCCTCGTCTAGATCATGAGGAAATTTTCCTGGCTGCTCCAGGAGCCTCTAAACTTTGACAAGCTCGAGGAGAACAGCATTCATTTCTGAGCTGGGAAGACGTAAGGGCACAAATGCTTTATAGTATTTTATAAGACTTCTACTGGCTCTGAAAACCTGTCCTTGTGGAAGAGCCATAAGCAAAGACTCACATGAGCAGGTTGCTCCTCCCACTATTGCATGGGAAAAAAAATAAAGAAAAGTGGAAGCTGTGGATAAATTGTTCACCATGGACAACATTCCTCAAAAAGAGCCATGAAAATAGATCATGATTTCAGAAACACAATGAGGAAGTATAACTAGTCACTTCTGTAGTTACATATTTATTTTCACCAGCTTATTTCTTACTGTAAGGTTTGAAGACTGATTTTCAAATCAGGAGGAAAAGTTAAAAAATTAAAATTATATTTAGACATTTTTGAGCCTACTTGATATTTGCAATGACTACATGATTCACAACAGTATCATTTTAGTCTTTATGATGTGAGTTTAAATACAGATATGAGTATGTAAATTTTTTAGGAAGTTTGTCCACTGATAAAAATGTAATAAAGTCATCTTTCAATGCATTGTCATTTCTAGTTAGACAGCAGTATAGCCCAAAAAGCACTATTTTCACTACCCAAATGTGGGTTTCCAAGTGACACTTCCAGCGTGAACTAGTAATAAGACTTTCGACTAATCAAGCTGAGGGTAATACCTGTTCATTCAGGGTTTTCTGGCCCAGTTCTTAAAAAAAAAAAAAAATAGAACCAGAGTTATTTTGTAGAGATCCAAAGCCAACTTCTGTCTTTGTCAGGGTCTTCCTTGCCTTTCCCAACACCTTACTGCTCCAACCTGATGGCTGTCCTGCCCACATGCCACCACCTGCAGACACCTCCCCATGCCAGAACCTGGGCCAACCACAGAGGAGGGATATTAAACAGGCTCAGTTCCATCATACTGTAGTGAAATCCAACCCCTGCACCAGATAAAGAAACAAATGGACTCCTTGGTAACAGCTTCCAGTGAGGATTCTTACTTCAACTGAGACACACACACACACACACACACACACACACTCCCCCCATCATCCTGGAATCTGGAATCCTGTGGCTAATCCAAGGTACCCCACCGAACTCCCAGATCCAAAACAAGCAGAACCACCACCTATTTCAGCTCTTTCCTCTCAGTCTCTGTCCCATTTTGACCTAGGTCTAACTACCCTTGGGGAACTAGCAGGGGTTTTGCCACATACACTCAACAGCAAGCCACCCGATACCTCAATCTGACCCCTCCACTTGGATCTCCTCCCATAACATCTTCGTGGGATAGTCCTCCTGCTGCCAAGAGCTGCCTCCCAGCTCCCGGCCCCAGCAGAGGGGTGTTGTGCCAAACATTGGCTCCCTCCTGCCCTGAAAGCATGTTTTAATGCTGATCCATACTGCTTTGTACCTAGGTTATGAACTTTAACAAACTTCACCTGCTAATTCTTTAGAAAGATTACTTTGATTATTATATACAGGCTGATATAGTTCTGGTCTATAGGAACATAGGACCTGAGCCAGGGTCTGACATGGAGTGCTTTGTGCATGGCTGCAGTTATTCTTTCAATCCTAGTTTCCTCTCAAGAAGGGTAATTACTGTGCGCAAACAAACAATTACAGCGCTCTAACACTCCTCTTACAACCAACAGGGAACTCCAAGTGTGTCACGAGGTGGAAAGAGGCTATCTGATAAAACTCAGTTTGCTGAACTCTTCCTTAAAGAAAACAGTTCTCTTTTGTCATTAAAATATTTAATGAAAAAATTAAATCCTTTTTCTATGGAAATGCAGATATTGTTTATGCTAAAAGTATTACTTTTTTACATTTCAAAATCAGCAAATACTTTATAAAGTTAATAAATATAAAGGGAAAGATTGCTTTGTAGCCACACACCATGTAGAAGCAGGTGGAAAGGATTCCAAGGACAGGAGGGAAGCATCTGCCTCACTCCAGGAGAAGCTTCCTGAAGGGCCTGGGCCTCCCTCCCGCACCTCCACTGCAATGGCCACAGAAAGGTAAAGGGGCCAGTGTGCACTAGCCTGCAAAGTCAGGCACATACAGACAACTAAAAGCTCTCACAGTAAGAAGAAACTATAGCATATTTAGAAGCAAACAGTTGTAACAGTTTGGGAAGGATCTATGGGAAGAAAACAATAAAACATAGCTGAAGGACACAAGCAAATCTGAGTAAGTGGAAAAATAGCACATTCCTGGATATGAACCCTCAAAGTAAAAATGTCACTGTTTCCCAAGTTTGTCTACAAATTTAACACAATTCCAAGAAAACAAAATCTCAACAGTATTCTTTTTAATGCTGGAAAATTAGTTTAAACTTCATTTAGAAGAATAAATGTGTGAGACTGCCAAATTTTTTGAAAAAGAAGACTAATGAGGAGGAATGTGCTGTACCAGATATTAAATTATATTATAAAGCTTCAATAATTAAAAACAGCATAGGACTAATGCAAGAACAGACAGGCAAATCAAGTGAACAGAATAAAAGTCACCAGAAACAAACCTAAGAGTAGATATGAATTTAGCATATAAGGAAGATAACACTCCAGTTCCTTGGTAGGGGAAATGTTTGTTTGGAAAATGGCAAGGGAGTGGGGAGGTCAACATCAAAATAAATTCCAACAGATAAAAGATTTAAATATAAAATATAGTCACATGCCACTTGTCAGTCATGAAGGATGGAAAACCAAAAATCCAAGTGAAGGAAGTTATAACTGAAGGCAGCTCTGGTCTGACAGAAGGCACCTGGGCTATCCAGAGTGTGCCCTTAGACAACTCTGAATGAGCTCTTCTTATATTTTTGCCTCCAGATTTAAGCTTGAATCTATTCCTCTCTCTCTCTCAGGCTGGTAGATATATAACCTGGGGAACAGTTTTAACAAAAAAGA